GGTGGGATGGGAAGGTTGCTACAAGAGGCATTTGTATGATAGCCAAAAGTGATATTTGGCAATGGTACCAGATGATTGATTTTTACAGAATCAACGGGATGAAACTATATATACTACATGTCTTACTGAGCTGAGTTCCCTGCAAGTAGGAGGGAGTCACCTCTGGGTGAATAAAAATCCATTCTTGTTCGGCTCTGATAAATAGTGTCTTTGTTCTCTGATATTTTTTGTTAGCTTTCCATCAAGGAGGAAAGGTCTGTCTACTTTACAAATAGAAGCAAAACCATCATACAATTATTCTCATTTAGCAATTATTGAGCATTAATTGAAAGTTGGCATGCTGGAAAACTCACATCCTGGGAGAGAATTATTATTTTAGAGTGCCACAGATACTGTGTAATGTACATAACATATTTGAAGCAGCAATTTATTAAAAGTTACAATGTTTTCCCTAGAGAATGGATTAGCTATTCACCATTAGGACCAGGTCCAATATTTATGAAATGTTCACAAATGATTAATTATGTTTCATTTACAAATAGACTCTAATGGGAGACATTTTTATTGCAAGTGCTATTTTAATGAATTGTCTGTCTTTATGAATTCATGTCCAAGACTGAAATAATTCCTTTTTGCTCCCTTTCCTCGACCTTACACTTGAGCCTGCCACTGCTTATCATGTGTTTCCTATTTCTTCTATTCTGCTCATGTGATCATTCCCTCAATAGCCTGAACTAGAAAACCTGGGACATATGTGTGACTCTCACTCTCCTCACACCCCATTTCCAATCAGTCACCATGTTTAAGTGGTTCCTTGTTGCCTACAGAATAAAAGTCAGCTCTCCTTAACCTGATATATGGATATATTCACAGCCTGGGCACCATAATGTCCCAGTTTTCCATTCCCCACCAAGTAGGCTATACTAGCTCCTACTATGAGATGCCCTTCCCGCTCTTTTTTCCTTCAAAAGCCAGCTCAAGTGTTGTCTTCTTCCTTTAACTTTCCAGATGTTTTTCCTCCCTTACCCCTAGGCAGAATCAGTAACTTCCTCATTTATTCTCTTATAGAAGTGTATGTATACTTCTCAGTTGTCTTTATTCATCTGTGCATCTAACTCATGCATAAGACTGTAAGCTTTTTGTAGTCTCACTCTTTTATTTTCTATGTATACCATGTTTACTTAGCACATAATAAGGCCTTATTGAAGGGTGCTTGGCTGAGTTGAAAATCCTATTAAAAGAAGAAACAAATCAAAGTTATGCCTCAGTGGATATTTCATGTGAACACCACTTCGTGATTGGTAATGGAGATAAAGTGGATGTATGTGAAGAAGAAAGTCTGGTGGCAGTTCACTTGGTGGTTCAAATAGAATAGTTATAGAGACATAGCAGTTTAGAGCAGGAAGGTAAATCAGAGACGACCTTCATACAAATAACTTACTTTCATTACGTTATGCTCTCTCTTCTCTTCACCCTGCTCTTGCCATTTTCTATGCTAGTTTCCTAAGAAAAGCACTATTACAGTCCCTAGACTAGAGTAAATACATAATAAATATATCTTGTATAAATTAATGAATGAATGAACAAATGAAATGATTCCCCCTCTTGCATTTTACAGATAAGAAAACAGACTCAGAAGCCAGGTGTGGTGGCTCATGCCTGTAATCCCAGTGCTTTGGGAGGCCGAGGTGGGAGGATCACGAGGTCAGGAGATCGAGACCATCCTGGCTAACATGGTCAAATGCTGTCTCTACTAAAAATACAAACGATTAGCCAGGTGTGGTGGTGGGCGCCTGTAGTCCCAGATACTCAGTAGGCTGAAGAAGGAGAATGGTGTGAACCTGGAAGGCGGAGCTTGCAGTGAGCCAAAATCACAATCACGACACTGCACTCCGGCCTGGGAGACTGATCGAGAATCCATCTCAAAAATGAGCAAACAACACCACCACCAAAACAAAAAACAAAACAAAAAAAAACAAAAACAAACAAACAAACAAAAAAACCAGACTCAGAGATGCAAAGAACAGGAAAGCAGAAACCATTCCTTTTCCAAACTGCCACCATATTCTCTACATTGAACTAAGTGCTTTTACCCCATTTATGCAACTTTATCGTATCAGGAAAATTATACAACTATTAAGTTACAAGAAGAACTTACTTGAATACTTGAAGCTTAAAACCAGTGACCTATGATCACACAAATAGGTGGTATCTCTGTTTTTCTTATGTAGTGTTTATTGTATAGTATTTCCTCTGCCACCTGCTGGCATGGTATTCATGGACAGTAATAGTATTGATGATTGGTTTGAAACTCAGAAAATCTCTACTTTCCCTATCTGTGTTGTTTAGATGGTAGCAAGTGACTAAATACAGGGAGCTGTAATCTAGTGGTAAGAATACTACACATGAAGGCTGAAAACCAGGGCTCATTTCGTAGTCCTGTGATCTCGTCTTGAACAAACCTTTATCATTTTGGAAACTCAGGTTTCTCATTTATACAGCATAGTATATACTACCAATTTTGTAGAGTTATCTGATGAACAGATGAATAGTGACTATGAAAACATAGTTTATCCACATAAAATTAAGGTAATTTTTTAAAGCTTACGTGAGAATGAGAAAATGTGTATAAAAGGGCTTCCTCAGCTATACATTCACGTTCTTGCATTTCCTTTGTTACTGTTTTGCAATTTCAGTGTACCACAGCCTTAATTTGTATAAACAGATAAAAGGATGATAAATAAGCACTTTCTCACTAATGTGGCTTGTATACAGTATAGCATGTTTAAATGAAATTCTGCTTCTAATTCTTCTGAACATAATTAAACATAACAGTAATACAGAAATAATAGTTAAAATGACATTTATTCTTGTCATGAGCTTCCATTCTCATAAGAAAATCAAAACAATCCAAGAAAAGAGAAAATATGAAAATTAACATCATTGCACAGACAGTAGCAACTCTTTGATGAGAAAAAAAGCCATTGGCAGCTTGTTTTAACAGTAATTGAAAATATGACTTTTCAAATGTTCTGCATTAGCTGCAGCTCTAATGTATATATTTACAAATGAATCTGATAATGTAATTTGCATTTCTTAGTTTTATAAATCGTCTCCTTTACCTCAAACAAGGTACAGAATGTGTCATTTGCTTCTTGTTGATAACATCATCTCTGCTCTTTAATGTTAATATTACCCCATGATCCACTATCAATATTTGTTATATTCTATTGCTTTCCATCTTTAAGAAAATGTTTTATTAAAACTAAATCAACCAAAATAAGAGAAATTATGATGTATTTTTCAGTATAGCTTTAAAAATCTCTGAATAGCATACAGTGGAGAGCCCTGGGGTACTAGGGATGACTAGGACCTTAGAAGTGATCTAGTTCTGACCCTCATCTTAGAGTTCAGAAAATGAGGCTATAAATGGCTGAAAAGAAGATATGCTAGTTTTCAAAGGACAAAAACAAGGAAAGTGCTCCAGGCTATATTTGAGCTCTCTTCTCACTACACTAAATCAGAAAATAATCAATTTTAACACATACAACTTAATTCTCTATCCAAATGATATCAGAGAAAAAGGAAGCCTTGCTCAACACTTCTATGTTAACTCTTCAGATGTGGATGCTGATGGACTGTTGATATGTATCTGGGAGAAAACCAAATAAATTGGATGATAGGAGATCTCAATAGCCTGGAACAATTGGCTATATCTAACAAAAGAGAATTTAACTGCGATAGACACAAAGTCAGCACTTACAGTACAAAAACTAATGGCAAAAGTACATGAAGTGGGACATGTGGTTTAACAGCAGAACATAATTTCTTTTCAGAAGTTGCTGTTTTTAAAGAACTGAAAGTTATATAAGTTTACTCCTGTACTCTTCCCCAAGTCAACTCAAGTCTACTTAACATAATAGAAGTATGTACAGAACAACAAAGGTGCTAAGTCTAGTCTATACTCTCCACCTGGATTCTCAGTATAGATATAGACACTGACAAATTGGGGCATGCAGAAGGGAAAGACCAGAGTGTTAAGTGACTCAGACCCAAGCACTTCAGGAAAGGTTAAAGGAATTGGATCTGTCTCTCTGCAGAAGAGAAGGACTATATTTGTTGTCTGGGAAAAATGGGCATGAGAGAAACATGTACTTTGTAATAAACAAGGCTGACTGAGTGGAAAGAATTTAAGGTACAGAGGGCATGAGTCTGAGTATTGGTGACATTGTTAACCAGCTGTGTGACCTTGAGAAAAACCACTAAGAAACTGCATCTCAGGTTCCTGAGCTGCATTATGAGAACAGGAATATCTACGCTGCAAGAGCCTTGTGAAAATTAAATTAAACAACATATATAAAATAGCTATAGAATATGGTATGCAGTTAATAGTCAACCAAGGGCCGGGCGTGGTGGCTCATGCCTGTAATCCCAGCACTTTGGGAGGCCGAGGCAGGCAGATCACCTGAGGTCAGAAGTTCGAAATCAACCTGGCCAACATGGTAAAACCCTGTCTCTACTAAAAAAATAATAATGATGATAGCTGGCTGTGATGGTGGGCGCCTGCAATCCCAGCTTCCCGGGAAGCTAAGGCAGGAGAATAGCTTGAACCTTTGAGGCAGAAGTTGCAATGAGCTGAGATTGTGCCACTGCACTCCAGCCTGGGCAACAGAGAGAGACTCCATCTCAAAGAAGAAGAAGAAAAAAAAAGTCAACCAACATTGACCTTTCCACCCACTTGTCAGGGAGAGTTATTAGTGATTTTTATTAGATAAGCATCTTATAGAAGGGTTGTATAGGCAGATATGAGAAGGTTAGGCATCTGAGATCCTTGCCAATGCAGCAAGATATATTTATATGTTGACCAACAACATTTGTTGAACTTTATTCCCATAAGGATTATTATTTAAAATAGTGGATGCCTTACAAGTTATATTGCCTTATAAAGCTGCAAGAAAATTTCAGAAATACATAGATTAAAACAGTGCTTATCTACTTACCTGTAAAGTGCAGAAAGGGGCCTCTTGTTTCCAGGTTTTGGTCTGTATGGTTTGGGCTCTCCTGCCATGTTGATATCTGAAAGCATAAAATAAAACAGTACTGATTAAGAAAATATAAAACCATTTGAGAAAAGTAAATCATGGATTTTTATTTTTCTTTTTACTATTTATTCATGCAAATATTGTACACCATTGATTCATTCAACATATATTTATTGAGCATTTACTCTGTGTCAGGCACTGTTTGGGATATGTCGTGCACAAAACAGATTATATCTCTGCCCTTGTGGAACTTACATTTTACTGGGGGAAGATAGAAACAAACATAATAAATAAAAACTATATACCATATTAGAAAACAATGAGTACTATAAACAATCAAAATGTTGAGCAAAGTGAGGAGAAGCAATAATGCTTTTCTTTTTTCCCTAACAGACAGGGTCTTGCTCTGTCGCCCAGCCTGGAGTGCAGTGGTGCAATCATTGCCCACTGTAACCTTGAACTCCTGGTCTCAAACAATCCTCCTTTCTCTGCCTCTGAAATAGCTAGGACTACAGGCATGTGCCACTATGCCTGGCTAATTTTTAAAATATTCTGTAGAGATGAGGTCTGACTAGGAGGCCCAGGCTGTCTCAAACTTCGGGCCTCAGGCAATTCTCCTGCCTTAGTCTCCCAAAGAGTTGGGATTACAGGCGTGAGCCAGTGTGATTGGCCAGAAATGCTTCATGAAACAAAAAGAGAATGAAATATCCCTCTGATTTTCATTTTTCTCTAAGAATTTTTTTGTATGCATAAACATTTGTATGAAATAGAGTTCTGTCCATAGGAGGACTTATTAAATTTCTCATGATATATTTTCCATTTATATAGAAAAGGAAGCTAGAAGGATTTGATCATCAATCATACCAGGTTTACTAAAGGAACAACAAAATGCACTCAGCAACTGGAATATGGAGTTATTGAATTCCAAGGTGGTCAAAAGGAGAAGAGAGCACATACTTTGCCTTCATAAACTGAAAATATTATTGTCTCTGAGATAGACAAAAAGAGGTTTAAGTATGTGACAAAACAGTCTATGCATACAATTGACCAACCTCAATCTTAAGGAAATATGTAAAACTGTTAAGAAATTGGAAAGTTGGGAGGAGAAGGTTTGGAAAGTAATATAAATAACTAGATTGGATAAAGTTAAAATTTCCAAATGATGATAGAAAGGGAAATCTAAAGGAGATGTGCTTCAAGAAATGACGGATATTATTTTGACAAAAAAGAAAGGGAAAACTTCTATTTCTTGCACAGTGGACTAAATACAATGAGCTATCCACCACTGAAAACAACCAAAAATTCTGGATAAAATATAAATGTATCCTTTTAAAGAATGCAACATAAAACTAGCAAGAAAGTAAGGGATTTTGAAGAACATCTCACACCTGAGTGGAAACAGGAAATCAAACGGAAAAAGAACACTGCACCTGGCTTGTTCCTTAAAGATATTTGCTGCAGCCAGAATGCAAGTTTTAGTTTTCACCTCCTTGTGGTTCAGCAGGGACAGGTCACTATGCCCAGGTTAAAAAATATGAGAAATATAATCATCTGATTCAACATAAGTGACAAATATGTGACAAAATCCTTAGCAACTAGGAAGAGAAGAATATTTCCTTTCTTAACAAAGAAGATCTACAAAAATCTATATTAAACATTATACCTAATAGTGAGACACTGGGCACATTTGCTTTAAGATCAGATAATTTAAAAGGACACCCGGTATATTAAACTGTATATAATATTATACTAGATGTCCTAGTCAGTGCAGTAAGACAGGAAATCAATTTTAGAAATGAGAGAGAAGAAATAAAACTGTCATTAATTGCTGATGATACGTGGGTTCATATAAAAAAATTGTAAGGTGTCCGCAGATGATTACAATTAATAAGAGAGTTTAATAAGTTTATTGAATGCAAAGCCAGTATACAAAATTCAATTGTATATCTCTATACAACAATCATATGTTTAAAATATAGTCAAGTGTATTATTTATATATTATAAAAGACAAAGTACTAAGGTGTAAATCTATCACAACACTTGAAAGACCTTAATGGAAATATAAAACTGTATTGAAAAATTTTACAGTAACCTTACATAAACAGAAAAATTAGTAGACTCAATACAATAAATATGTCAGTTCTCTTCAAGATAATTATGGATTCCATGTAATTCCAATAAAATCCCCAGTATTTTGTATGTATATGCCTGAAGCTTGAGAAGCTGATTCTGAATTTATAGAATAGAACAAAGGCCAAACATAGCCATGATACACTTGGAAAAAAGGTATGAAGTTGACAAAGTTGCCCTATCAATATTTATTTTAAATCTGTGGTACTTAAGGCTGTAGCATTGGTACAAAGATAGGAAAGGGGCCAATGAACATGAAATACACACATGTATATATGACAAAACTGTACATGCATACAGTTGACATATATAAACACATGGAGCCGACACAGCAGATCAGTGAGGGAAAAACTGATTCTTAAATCAATAATGCTGGAATGATCCACATGAACAAATATGAAATTGAATATCTACTTACACCATACCAAAAACAATCAATTACTGTTGCCTAAATATGAAAGGAAAAAATATAAAATGTTTAGGAAGCAATAAAATAGAATATATTTTTGAGCTAAGAGTATGGGAGGATAATCTTAAACCAGACATAAAAAATCACTAACCTTAATATATAAAATTGATAAATTTTGCTTCATTAAAATTAAGAATTTTTGGTTATCAAAAGCCACATAAAGATAGTGAAAAGGACCATAAACTTGACAAAGGATTTGTTTCTAGAATATGTAAGAAACTCAGGCATATCATAGGAAAGAGAGTCAAAACACCAAATAGAAAATTAATCAAAAACCTAGTAAAGGCACTTTACACAAGAGAAAACATGAATGGTGAATAAACACATGAAAAAATGCTTAACCTCATAGTTGTGGGAAATGCAAATTAAAACACCATGAGATACAAATAAAACCCATTGAATTTACAGTTTACAAAGCCTGGTAATATCAAATGTTGGCATTTCTGAGCAACTAGAATGTGTGTAGAATGCAGATATAAATGTATATTGGTAAAAACTATTTTGAAAAATAATTCAGCAGTTTCTAATAAACTTAAAATGTTCAAACTCTGTGATCCAGGAAGTACACACTTAAATCTTTTACACATGTGTACCATATGATATACACAAGTGTGTTCACTGTAGTACATTGGAATTGAAAAGATTCCTGGAAAAAAACACAAATATCCATTGTATTTTTAATAGGATAAACAAATGGTAGCATATCTACCTAAAGGAATACTATACAACAGTAGGGAAATGACAGAGAGAGAGAGAGAAAATGAATTAGAGCCAAAGGAAATATTGATACATTGATAACCTCAGAAACCTAACACTGAACAAAAATAATGCCCTGGAAAAATACTGACAGTATGAATTCTTTTATGTAAATTAAATTGCAAAATTGAATGATATATTGTATAAAAATAAAAATACATGGGATAAAACTAGAAAAGAAAAGCTTCTACACAGCAAACAAAACAGCCAGCAGAGTGAACAGACAACCCATAGAGTGGGAGAAAATCTTCACAATTTATACATCTGACAAAGGACTAAAATCCAGAATCTACAAAGGACTCAAACAAATTAGCAAGAAAAAACCAAATAATCACATAAAAAAGTGGGCTAAGCATATGAATAAACAATTCTCAAAAGAAGATATACAAATGGCCAACAAACATTTGAAAAAATGCTCAACATCACTAATAATCAGGGAAATGCAAATCAAAACCACAGTGCGATACTACCTTACCCCCACAAGAATGGCCATAATAAAAAAATTAAAAAATAATAGATGTTAGCATGACTGTGGTAAAAAGGGAACACTTCTACACTGCTGGGGGAATGTAAACTAGTATAACTACTACAGAAGATTCCTTAAGGAACTAAAAATTGAACTACCATTTGATCCAGCAATCCCACTACTGGGTATCTACCCAGAGGAAAAGAAGTCATTATTTGAAAAAGATGCATATTTATAGCAGCACGATTAATATTTATAGCAGCACGATTCACAATTGCAGTCATTATTTGAAAAAGATGCATATTTATAACAGCACATGCATATTTATAGCAGCATAATTCACAATTGCAAAAATAGGGAACGAGTCCAAAGGCCCATCAGTCAACAAGTGGATAAAGAAATTGTGATGTGTGTGTGTATACACAAACACACACACACATATATATACACTATATACTCAGAATATAGTATATATATGGAATACTACTCAGGCATAAAATGGGACAAATTACTGCCATTTGCAGCAATCTGGATGGAACTGGAGGCTGTAATTCTAAGTAAAGCAACTCAGGAATAGAAAACCAAACATCGTATGCTCTCACTCACAAGTGGGAGCTAAGCTACGGGGATGCGAAGGCATAACAATGATACAATGGACTTTGGGGACTTGGAGGAAAAGGTGGGAGGGGGTGAAGGGTACAAGACTACAAACTGGGTTTAGTGTATACTGCTCGGGTCATGGGTGCATCAAATTCTCACAAATTACCACTAAAGAACTTATGTAACCAGATACCACCAGTTCCCCAAAACCTATGGAAATAAAAAATTTTCTTAAAAAAGAAGGCAGAGATAAACAAGGAATTCAGGAGGAAAGTTACCTCTAAAGGGGTAGAAAAAGTGTGGGACTCGGAAATGACACTCAGAAGACATTCAAGTTAATAGCAAGGTACTATTTCTATTTCTAAATTGGGTGGTAAGAGCATGGCTTTAAATTATAGCATTATTCCTCATAACTTACTTATTTTATTCTGTATGTAATTTATAACTAATAAAGAATTTAATAAGAATGAAAATTGTAAATTATGTGTTGATAAGTATTCACATCAGAGAAAATAATTGTTTTTTTTTTTCCCCTCTGAGACGGAGTCTCACTCTGTTGCCCATGGTTCACTGCAACTTCCGCCTCCTGGGTTCAAGTGATTCTCCTGCCTC